AAAACACTTTTTCTTAGCAAATAACACAGGAAAAAAATGAAAGCTAGTTTTTAAAGGAAACATTCTGAAGTTTTTCAAAAGATGATAGCAAGTCACTGACGGTAAGATAGTGTGTACATTCATTGCTTTCACAAAGTATATGGAAGTCTTAACTGGCTTTTATAGGCAATATAAAAGGTTACTAGCAGCATCTAGAACTAGAGTGAATTGCTGTGTATGACCTATAGGAAATATTGTGCTAATATTTAGCATGATTATTTTTGCTGTATAATAAAGATCAGAGTTCACCTTTTAGTCGTACTTTATGAATGACATTTTGAACCTTTTCAATACAGAAAACTAATTAGAAAAGTGGTGAGAAGTCAGTATACTTCATTATGGAATAGTAAATTACTGAGAGAAAAATTCCAATTACTAGATGAAGGAGTCTTTCAAGATTTTTTTTTTTTTTCCTAATGTCAGATTTTAAAGACTGAACTAAATCCAGGGCATTAATCAGCTCTCAATTTTCACTTGCCTAGGAAGATTAGGGCAATTAATACTTGTTTAATTATACATTCTCTGTAACACTTATGGCCAGATGTACCATATAACAAACACTAGACATTTTCTACTTGAATGTTTTGAATCATAGTATTTTAACAGTAATTTTGTTTTATTAATAAAAGACTAAGATAGCTTTTGAATCTAAATGCTCTTGGATTTTTTTGGCTTTAAAAGCATATTTTTAAAATAAGGGAATAATTATTTATAATTGATTTGTTGATCAGCATAGTGTATAGATATTTGGGATACTTCAGATAGTGTGCAGATCAAGAAATAACTTGGTTTGTAATTTATTTTTGCTTATATGATTTTGTAAATCCCATTTTGACTAAGATAAAGTTTAACATAGTTTTAAGAGAGATCTGGGTCTATAAATAGAGGTATTCTCCTCACTGTTTCATAGAAATGGTAGCAATAAAATTGAGCCCACGAGGTACACCAGAAAAACATACTTAAAATAATAACGAGACTGTCATTTTGATTTGGTTATGTTATTCTTTAAAATCTTTTGGTTTTAAACAGAAATTGGAAGTCATTCAGAAAGAATTTTATTACTGTATGGAAATGATGAAACTTTGGAACTGTGAAATAAGGAAGTTGAAATGGCGGTGGTGGGAGTATTTATTTCATTAAATTATTTTTGCTAGTTTCTCATTTGTAAGTGTTTTGCTTATCTAAATAGGCATAGCATATAGGACTCTATAGATGAACTATATTTTTGTGTACATTTTCAGCTTTCTAATTGAAAGCGTGAGTAGCCTCCATAGCTATACAGGCAATCATAAGTGCACATGTATCACCTTTGCCAGTTGTTTTTATTAACAAATGGCAGTTTCTGTCCTCACTCTGTTGCTATTAATAAGGAAGCCACTAGAACAGGTTTATGAGAGAAGTAAGCCCCGAAGCCCAAGGAATCCATCAGATGTACAGGTTATCCTCTCTCCTGTGACTCTGGAATGGTTCTGTCCCTATACCATCCTTGGGAGAATTGAGAAAAGAGTCACGCAGGTAGTTTTTTTCCTCTTAAATTCGTGAGTGCCTCTAGCCTGTGTCCCCATAATCTTTACAACTATATGGTTGGCTAGTATTTAAACCAACTCAGAACTGCAGTAACCTTTTCAATAAACTGTAAATCAGCTATCTGAAAAGTGCTGAGACATGTCCTAAAAAAATAGTGTTTTTCATAGCTTCCTGTAATACAGAGCCAAACTCATTCAAAGTAATTGATCTCTGTGGTCAACGGTGGCTCAGAAAAGCACCTGATATAATAAATTGAGGGTCCGGAAATTGCCAGATTAGCACCCCTAGAATTGAAAGTCTTTATACTTAGAGTGTGTACAGGCTGAGTAGCAGAAATTGAAGTAATTCCTATTCGTTCAATAAACAAATAGATTGCAAAAAGTTCTATTAAGGCTTTGTAGAAGGTACAGAGAGAATACACCCCTATTCTTGAAGAGAAAGAAGTAGAAAATTAAAATCAGTAGTCAAGTACAAGCATAGTACTTTGAATGCAGAGGGATGAGTAGGGTGAGGAGGCTTCATAAGGAAGATGGTGGTGGAGCTGATGGAAAGGCATTTATAAAAGATCACAATCAGTTGGTGTTGATAGAGGACAGATTTTAAAGGCCTTGACTGTATGTTAAAGGATTTGGATTTAATTGAGCCCTCTTATAGATGAAATGAGGAATATTTTTTACAGTTATGTATACTTATTGTTCATTCACCTAATTTATAATTTTTAGATCTGTGCTGTCCAATATGGTAGCCACTTGCCTATGCGGCTATTTAAATTTAATTTAAATTAAATTCAAGTCTTTAGTTGCACTTGACAGAAACATTTCAAGTACTCAATAGCCATATGTGAGTGGACAGTGCGGGTATGGACGATTTCTTCAGTGTAGAAAGTTCTGTTGGATAGCATGGCACTACATGTTTATGTGAGGAGCGATAGCAGGACTGGAAAGTTTCAGAATGAAAACTCTTGTCTGAATTGTGGTTTTATGATACACACATGCTTTGTGAAAGATATGCAGAAATGTAAATTAAACCATCAGTTTGAATTTGCTAAGAAATCTCTATTGAAACAACTAATATGAATGATCTAATTTGTTTTTTCCTTTTGGATTTTTATGTTGTCTTCTTTTTTTTTTAAGTATACTGTATCGATTATGCTATTACAGTTTTCCCAATATTCCCTGCTCCACCCTGTATTCCCCTCCTCCAGCTTTCTCTGCTCTTAGTTCATGTTTGTGGGTTGTACATATAACTTGTCTGAGTTCTGTTTCCTGTACCATTTTTTACCTCTCCCCATCTATTTAATGCCTACCAGTTATGCTGCTTCTTTCCTGTACTTTATCTTCCTTACTCCTCCCTTTCCCCTCCCCACTGCAAACCCTCCATGTGATGTCCATTTCTCTGATTCTGTTATTGTTCTAATTGTTTGCTTAGTTTTTGTTTTCATTGGTGTTTTTTTTTTAGGTTCATTTGTTGATAGGTGTGAGTTCATTGTCACTTCACTGTTCATAGTTTTTATCTTCCTTTTTTTAGATAAGTCCCTTTAACATTGGGCAGGGTGATGATGAACTCCTTTAACTTGACCTTATCTGGGAAGCACTTTATCTGTCCTTCTATTCCAAATGAAAGCTTTGCTGGATAGAGCAATCTTGGATATAGATCCTTGCCTTTCATAACTTCAGATACTTCTTTCCAGCCCCTTCTTGCCTGCAAAGTTTCTTTTGAGAAATCAGCTGATAGCCATATGGACACTCCTTTGTAGGTAACTTTTTTTTCTTCTTGCTGCTTTTAAGATTCTCTCCTTATCTTTAATCTTGGATAATTTAATGATGGTGTGCCTTGGTGTGTTCCTCTTTGGTTCCAGCTTCTTTGGGGCTCTCTGAGCTTCCTGGACTTCCTGAAAGTCTTACTTCCTTTGCCAGATTGGGGGAGTTCTTCATTATCTGTTCAAATAAGTTTTCAATTTCTTGCTTTTGTTCTTCTACTTCTGGCACCCCTATCATTCAGATACTGGAATATTTGAAGTTGTCAAAGAGGTTCAGAAGTTTCCCTTCATTTTTTTACATTCTTGTTTCTTCATTCTGTTCCATTTGGATGTTTATTTCTTCCTTTTGTTCCAAACTGTTGATCTTAGTCCTGGTTTTCTTCCTGTCACTTGTTGGTTCCCTGAATATTTTGCTTTATTTCATTTTGGCTATTTTTCATTTCTTCTTTCATTTGTTGACCAAGCTCAATCAGTTCTGTAAGCATTTTGATTACCAGGGCTCTAAATTCTCCATCAGCCCTGGCTAGTGTAGCTCAGTGGATTGAGCGTGGGCCTGCCAACTAAGGGATCGCGGTTTGATTCCCAGTCAGGGCACATGCCTAGTGGCAGGCCAGTTGCCAGCGGGGGACGCACTAGAGGCAACCATACACTGATATTTCTCTCTCTCTCTCTCCTTCCCTTCCCCTCTAAAGATAAATGAATAAAATCTTTAAAAAAATTCTCCATCAGATAGGTTGGCCATCTGCTCATCAGTTAGCTCTCTTTCTGAAGTGTTGTTCTGTTCTTTAATTTTAGCCCTATTTCTTTGTTCGGGACCCTGGTAAGTTGTAAAGGGGCAGGGCCTTAGGTGTTCACCTGGGCAGGGCAACCCTTCTTGCTGTGCTAAGGCACTGCTTGTGGGGGAGGAGCCAGAGAGGGAACAATGCAGCTCATCTGCTCACTTTTCACCCAGCTCTCCTGTGAGACTGGGAGTTTCCCTTTCACAGCAGCCGCCCCGCCCAGGCATCCCGCTGTGTCTCTGCTGCAGCCCAGCCCACACAGTCACTGCCCTGGGGAGGTTTCTCAGCAAGCCCTGCCTGTGTGGTCTGCCACCTTGCCATCATGCCACCATTTCTGTCCATCTGCCATCTTACTGGTTTGATTGTTCTGTTTGACTGTTTCTTTAATTCTGTGGTTGTTGGAGTTCCATGTAGTTTGGTTTTCTGGCACTTCTGGTTGTTTACTGATTGTAGATTGGTTATTATCCTCCTTTTGGTTGTGCAAGAAAGTGAAGGGTTTTTTTTACCTACACCTCCATCTTGGCTGGAACTCTGTTGTATTTTCTTGAAGGTCAGACACTTTCAAATTGCAAGTTAAATTTTAGTGTTAATCCAGGGACTTGTTATATCCTGCTCTAGTCGATTTCATACTTAATTAATGATTTCGATTAAATGTGCTTTTATACTACTGTAGTGATGAGTTTTGAATCTCAATGAACCATGGGTATAAAATGAAATGAAATGACTTTATTATAGACTAGATGCTTTTTGTACATTACTGATTAGTCCAGGATTTACTGGTATTTTAAATTGAACAAAGCAGGATGAAGAAAACAAGGCTTTGCAAACTTGAATAAAATTATAGAGTCAGTAAAAGTGACAATACTAATTTATTAATTTATATGTTTCTTTTCAAGGACTACAACTCCAGGAGAAACGAAACTGTTGGCCTCTGAAATCTATGACATTCTTCAGTCTTCCAATATGGCAGATAGTGATAGTTTCAATGAAATGAACTCACGTCGAAGGAAAGCTCAGTTTTTTCTGGGGACTACAAACAAACGTGCCAAAACAGTGGTTTTGCATATAGATGGTCTTGATGATACGGTAAGGTGTTTGGAAACAACATGGTTTATCAGATGGGGAGAGGAATCAGGTTAACTAAATAGTTTTCTCAGTGGCACCTGCTAACAGTCTTTAAGAATAAGTCCTAATATTAGTATTTTATACTGATAAACGGGAGCATTTTGTGCTAAACAGATTTGTTAATCAGGGGATGTTAAAAATTTAAATATTTGTGCTCTAATACTAGCATTTCAAAATACACAAAGCAAAACCCGACAGAAACGCAAAGAGAAATAAACAGATCTACAGTTAGAGCTAGAGATTTGAATACTACTCTCTCAGTTAATAGAACAAATATACAGAAAATCAGTAAAGGGTATAGGAGACTCAACACTAATAATCAACTTGACTTAACTGATATTTATAGAATATCCCACCCAACAGCAAGACAGTAATTCTTTTCAAGTACACATGGAACATTTACCAAGATTGCCCTCCTCGTTTTCTTTCCCTCCTTGCCTCCCTCCCTCCCTTCTTTGTTGGATGATTTAGGGCTTATTATATTACAATAGTTCTTCCTTATCCACGGGGAATAAGTTCCAGGACCCTGCCAGTGGATGCCCTAAAACCATGAATAGTACCAAATCCTATATATGCTGTGTTTTTTCCTATACATACACACCTTTTCACTTATTGAAAGCACTTCATGGCCCCTCTTTGGCATATCCAAATTGTCAGCCTCACTACTCTTGTGTTTTGGGGCCATTATTGAGTAAAATAAGTATTGTTGGAACACAAGCACTGTGATCCTATGGCAGTTGATCCGATAACTGAGAGCACTACTGCGTGACTGACAGGCAGGCAAGCACTTACAGAGTGGAAATACTGGACGAAGGGATGAATTAGATGTATGTGTGGGGGGAGGGGTGGCACAGAATTTCATCACGCTACTCAGGATGGTGTACAATTTATGGATTGTTCATTCTGGAGTTTTCCATTTAACATTTTTGAACCACAGTTGACTGCGGGTAATTGAAATTGCAGAAAGCAAAATTGCAATAAGGGGAGGCCTATTCTAGGTCACTTCATGCATAGTATAAGACATAGCACTGTATTTCATTTCCCTTATCTCTGCCTTAGTGCTGTTGGTATCATCTTTTATTTCTGCATGTGCTATAAGCCCCAAAATACATTGTTATTGCATTAAATATTCTTTAAATTTTTTTCAATATTTTATTGTGATAAAATATACATAGCATAAAATTTACTATTTTAACCATATTTTTTTAAAGACTTTATTTATTTTTATTTTTAGAGAAAGGAAAAGAGAGGGAGAGAAACATCGATTGATCGTTTGCCTTTTGTGCATCCCCAACTGGGGACCTAGTCCATAACCCAGGCATGTGTCCTGACTGGGAATCGAACCAGCGATCCTTTGGTTCACAGGCTGGCTGGCGTTCAATCCACTGAGCCATACCAGCTAGGGTATAAAATAAGTTTTAATACCTATCCTAGTAGCTCAGAAGTAGTATATTACTGTGCTTTTGACTGGCATTTTCCTAATGACTAATGATGTTTAGTATCTTTTCATGTTGTTATTGGCCATTTTGTAGTGGTTGATTTCGAGTTTATTGCATAAATCTTTATCACAGATTTTCTCTTTGGGAGAAATTTCTGTTCGTGTTTTTTTTTTTTAAGTCCTCACCCAAAGACATGTTTACTGATTTTAGGGGGAGAGGTGATAGGGGCATGGGGAGAGAGATCGATCCGTTGGTTGCCTTCTGTACACACCTGATGGGATTGAACCTGCAACCTAGGTATGAGCCCTGACTGGGAACTTAACCTGCAGTCTTTTGATGTATGGGATGATGTTCCAGCCAACTGAGCCATCTGGCCAGGGCATCTCTTCATTCTTTCTTCATTTTTAAGTTGCTTGTTATTTGTCTTTTTATTGTTGAGTTGATAATACCATGTGAACCAATCTTTCATTCCTAGGATAAATTTCAACTGATCATAATGTATAATCTTTTAATATGCCCTGGATTCAGTTTGCTGATACATTATTGACGCATTTGGCATTTGTATTCTCATAAGATATTTATCATTTGTTTTCCTGTTTTTTTTTTCTGGTTTTGGTATCAGGGTCATACTATCTTCATAAAATGAGGTGGAAAGTACCTGGATGAGTTTGTGAAGGATTGGTGTTAATTCTCTTAATCATTTGGTAAAAGTCACCAGTGAAGCCATTTGGCCCTGAGCTTTTTTTTGTGGGAAGTTTTCTGATTATTAATTCAGTCTCTCGTTATAGGTCTGTTTACATTTTTTTTCTTGAGTCAGTTTTAGTAGTATTGTCTTTCTAGGTACTTGTCCATTTCATTGAGGTTATCTAATGGTTGGCATATAATTATTCATAGTGTTAGCTTATAATCCTTTTGTTTTTGTAAGGTTAGTCATAATATACCCTCTTTAATTCCAGATTTAGTAATTTGAGTTATGTTTCTCTTTCTCTTGGTCAGTCTAGCTAAAGGTTTACCAATTGTGTTGATCTTTTCAAAGAGCCAATATGTGCTGTTTTCATTTCATTCTTTAATTTTTCTTGTGAGCTCCTTGGTTATTTAGGAGTTTGTTGTTTAATTTCCATGTATTTCTGAATTTTCCAAATCTTCTAATGATTTCTAATTTCATTTCATATAGTGTATGATTTCGACCCTTTTAAATGTATTGAGGCTTGCACATACCACAGATACCCTCTTCTATTCATTGCCAGAGTTAGCCTTGACTCATCTATTTTTTTGCCCAAATTCTCACTTCGTCTATTTAAGATTCTCTCAACCTAATCTTGACCCTGTTTTCAATCTAGAGGTTATTCATCCTTCCTGGCTAATTCTGGATTCTCTTTGCTCTGTGGAAGTACTCATGTTTACTTGAAAATAGCCTATCCTTGAGATCAAATGTTGAAATTGGATTTTCTACTCCTCTGCAAACCCCCAGGCTTTGCCTGTTGCAAATGTGTTAATTTGTGTGAAAATAAAGATGAATGGGCCTTATGTATCTGTTTTCTCACTGTCGCGTATAGTTGGGATTTAATGTCAGACTGTTGCTGCAAGCTAGGCAAGTTGCTTAACTTTTCTGTTTTGCTTTCCTCACATTTAAAATAAGGAGTCAGGTTAGTCTTGTAGTATTTTAACTTTGCTGTTGTATGTGCTATGCAAACTTTTCTTTACTTTTAAATTTACCTGGTATTGAATATGTGGCAGCGATAAACATGGATCTTTGATGACCAGTCCCCTACAGGGGACTTACAGAACCTGGGATGCGGCAGAGCAGAGCCAGAAACAGTGCAGCAGATGAGCCCCTGTGGGTCTGTACCCTGCCGTGCACCTCTGTATCCCAGATCGTTGCCTGAGCGGTGTTGAAATGTAGTAATGAGTAGTGAAAAAGTGGTTTACATAGAGAGATTGCAAGGGCTTGGGTTGTTTTGAAGGATGTGGGAATAAGTGTGAAGACTGGTTTTATTTAATAGAAGAGAAGAATGAATCAGGTAATTTGAAGGCAGTGCTTCTTAAGACATGATTCAGAGACTAGGGCTCAATTGCAGATTCCTGCCCCCTCAGAAGTACTGAATGAGAACCTGGTCTCAGTACACAAACAGGGAAGTTCAAGTGGTGACTTGATGTCTGGGCTGGAGTTGGAGGGAGGGATGAGGGGAAACTAGTTATTTTTCATTCTATTTTCTTTTTGGATTTTGTCTTTGGGTTCTGCTTGGTATCTAAGTGGGTATACCTGTAGACAAATGAAAATTAAATCATACGAAAGCACATGTCTATGCTTACATGGAAGTGATGAGTATAGTCTACTAAGGACAAAGTAGAAAGAAAATCTCTTGGTTTTAAACATTGGACCTTGAAGTAAGATGAGACAGAGATGGAATAATCAGTGGTATAAGTAGAAGACCAGGGGTAGTGTATTATTAGGAGTCAAAGAAGCATTGAAAGTTGTATGTTAGTTATATTGGAAATGAGAGGAAAATGAAAACCAAAAGGAGGATATTGATAACCCTTGAGAATGCACTGGGTGCCCATTAAGAATGCCATTAATGAGAAATACACTGATATTTATAAATACCAAGTACTTTAGAAAATAGTGAGTCAAACACTGAATGCTCACTAATACTAACTTTAGTTTATTAGAATTTGTCCCTAGGGGTTTTTAAGCTACAGCAGAGGTCAGGAAACCTGTTCTTTAAAAGGCCAGATAGTAAATATTTTAGGTTTTGCAGGGCATATGGTCTCTTACAACTACTGACTTTGCTGTAGAATGAAACCTAGCCTCAGATGTTGTGGTCCAGTAGAACTTTATTTACAAAAACAGCTGGTGAACTGTCGTTTGCCCACTCTTGAGCAGGAGGAGTCTCCGCTTCTCAGCGCTATTTCCTTTTGCTTTAAGATTTAAATTAACATCAGCTAACTTCTTGTTAAAATAATTAAAACTAAATATTAGTAATGAAGCTTGGAAAAAATCTAGCAGGGATTACTCTTCTGTTGATCTTATAAAATGTAGTGAACTTGACTGAGCACCACTCTCCCATGGCCTCACGTATGAGATGGTAGAACTGAAATAGGGACGTCTGTTCCCCATGGCGCCCCCCCTGCCCACATGTGATAACCAGTTCAGTGTGGTTTCAGTTGACTTATTCCCTTTTATTATTTTGCCAATTTTAATACCAATTTGCTTTTACTTTTTCAGTCTCGGAGAAATCTATGTGAAGAGGCTTTGTTAAAAATTAAAGGCGTTATTAGCTTTACTTTTCAAATGGCTGTTCAAAGATGCGTGGTACGAATCCGTTCAGATTTGAAAGCAGAGGTTAGTATTTTAAATGCCTGAATGTGTTTGAGGTTTCAGGTAACAAATCAGTTTTCAAATTTGTCTCTTTTTATTCTGGCCTAGGCTTTGGCATCAGCAATAGCATCAACCAAGGTTATGAAGGCTCAGCAAGTTGTGAAAAGTGAAAGTGGAGAAGAGGTAAAAGCCTTACATAGTTTTCTGTTTTTAAAAAAAATCTTTTTTTAGCTCTACCTGAGGACATACTTACTGATTTTAGAGAGAGGAGAAGGGAGGGAGTGAAACATCAGTGTGAGAAACATCACTCGGTTGCCTCTCCACACCCCAACCAGGACCAGACTCACAGCCCAGGTATATCCCCTAACCAGGAACGGGACCTGGGACCTTAGGTTTACGGGATGACGCTCCAACCTCCAGCCAAGTGAGCCACACCAGGGCTATGTAGTTTCCTTACATTTAACTATGACTCCTGGGGGCTCTTTATGGCTAGCAGATTGCCAGTATTTCTAGACTAGTAGTTGCAAAGTATATAGGAATGTGGTTGGATCACATTATCTTGGTGTTTCTTGGTTAATAGTTAACTCTTTTAGAAATACAGGAAGAGCTTTTGTGGATTTCAGTCTGTTTTTATATCTTATATTTTCTGAATTTCAGACTCTTCTTTTTTTCACTGGTGATGTTTTGCTGATATGTGGAAATGGAGGAGATGTGGCTTCTTTGCTTTGGTTTTTTAAATACTTTCTAACCTTAGTTTTGCCAGTCCAAAAAATAAAGTCTAGTCCTACTCCTGGGCAAATACATATATTGGGAATCTTTGCCCCTTGCTGTCCATGAGCTTTGTGATAAGGGAATGAACCTGTATGGTGTCAGCCCATTGGGGTTCATAGATAAGGAGGTTTGCTGGCCCTCCAGAAGTCCACCCAGTAGCTAGATAATGTGCTTTTGTCTTGTTTATTTTTAAATTTTTATAATTTATTTTTAATCATAGTTGATACACCATATTATGTTAGTGCCAGGTGTACAACACAGTGATCAGTGTTCATATAGTTCACAAAGTGGTCCTCACAATAAGTCTGATGACTATTTGTCACCATGCATAGTCATTAAGATATTACTGACTCTGTTCCCTAAGCTATACATTACCTCCCCATGACTTACTTTGTACCTGGAAGTTTGTACTTCTTAATCTCCTTTCCCTTTTCAGCTTAATCCCATCATCTTGAAATACAAGTTGCACATTTATTCTTGTGTGGTGCTGTCTATATGTGCCTACACAGTGCTCAGCAGTTGGGCCTGCCTTCATGTAAGAAGAACGTTGTCAAAGGAATATAGCCCGTGGACATAAATACTGGGATGATTGGAATGAGAAGAAAGTTGACTTTTTACATCTGACATATATCTATCAGTTATGTTGATTTTGCAGTAACTCTTCATGTGTTCTTTGTGTCAGATGCTGGTCCCGTTCCAGGATATGGCTGTGGAAGTGGAACAGAACACAGAGCTGCCCGACTATCTGCCTGAGGATGAGAGCCCCACGAAGGAGCAGGACAAAGCAGTGTCCCGGGTCGGCTCCCACCCAGAGGGCGGGGCTAGCTGGCTGAGCACAGCTGCAAACTTTTTATCCAGATCGTTTTACTGGTGACTTCACTTTGGGGTGCAAGGACTGTGCGAATGAACAAGGGGCCAGTTTTCCATTGTTGTGGTGAACTGTCAAGTGCAATTTGCAATAAGTTATCATGAAAAGTTTTTAGATTACATGATTGCGTATGCTGCATTTTACATTTTATTGGACAATTTGCCCCACTAAGTGGTAAAAATGACAGGCTACAGGTGGAGTTGCTCTGTTTATGAAGGTGTTTTGGTTTTGTTTTCCTTTGTTTAATTGCCTCACTTTTAAAAAACATGGGTCCACAATTAAACCAAACATAAATATGTGCAGCTTCACATTTTATTTTGTATGAAGCACTTGATTAGGAAAACTCATTTTCTCCTGAAGCCTCAGGACCTATCTGAAGAGAAGTTTTTGTTTTAGCTCAAGTGGTGCATGAATTACTGAATATTTTCTGTGCTTTTCTTCATGAAAGATACTTGTTTTTGGTACTCTTTACTGAGAGTTGAAAACATTTCTAATTATCCCCCTTTTGTGCCTTTTTTTAATTTTGCCAACCATGTATATGGAAAGGTCATCATTACTGATGACATTTTGTGAATTAAACTATATTCATTTGAATGTAGCAGTCCCCTAAAAATACAATTCTACAAAATCTTTGCAATCTTATTTGTTGTCATTTTAATAAAAGTAACACAAAATCGTTCGGAAAAAGGGAAACGTGTATGCGGCAAAGTGCCAGTGAGACTGAGTATGACCAAATGTAGTTTGACTGCTGTTCTGGTTGGTTTGTACCAGCTCTTGAGAGTTACATCCACGAGATAATGGGAACAGCTGTTGGTAGGCCTTATTTTGTGAATAAACACTATCTTCTGTTAGAAAAGAAAATAGTAAAGAACTGACAAACTTGAAAAAGAAAACAAAAATTGGATGCCTACAATGCCATAGTGCCATTCGGTAGAGTCGAACTGTAACACATGGATTGCTTGGTAGGTGCCTGTTCAGTACGTGTTTCCTTACATTGCCTTTGTGAATTTATTATGAATTTGCAGTCATATTAAATGAAAAAAGACTCGATACTTATAAAGAAATAAATCCAGCATTGGTCTACTTAATCTTGTTTCTCATGTCCAGCCAGAAAAAAAGAACTTCAGTGAAGGTAAGGTAAATAAATATAAATATAAATATAAATACATATACATATATATTTTTTGTAGATAACTGCTAATTACATAAATGTAATGCTTTATTGTATTGCTGAAATATTTGGCAACTAAAAATGTTCCTTTTGGAAATCCAACGAAATCCACATTAATTTTAATGCCCATATGATTAAAAACTAATGGGAAGAAATTGAAATTCTTTTTCATCCACATGTAGAGCTGCTATTTTACTCCTTGGAGAATGTGAAGTGAAAATTGGACCCCGGAGGGTTTTCTTGCATTTTCATTGCTTCTCTTTTAGAGAAAATTAAAAGCATCCAGTGTTACTGGAGAAAAAAATATTGTAAAATGCTTCACCAACAAGAATCTTGAGTTCATGAACATTGTGACCTTCTGGAGGGAGGCATATTGAGGGTGTTGAGAATGACATTTCTTTCACGCGTCTGGGCTCTGATTCAGGTGACACGCACAAATGAAAATACAAGCTTTCAGGGCATGTATTGCTTTAAATGCATAATACAACTTGCTGCCAGAACCAGACATGTTGAAAAAAGGAAACAAAACCACCTCCTTTCTATAGCCATTAAAACAAAGTTTACTGTTCTGTTCTAACAGGCTAGTGTTTTATTTTGCATTGCCACACATCTGCTTATTTAAAAAACGACATCGCTTTGGTAGCAATGGTTCGATACAAGTAGGTATTATAGCCTGGTGTTTGTGTGTTCTAATTATATGTGTTCTTTTGTTTCCAGGTCTTATAGAGCAGTTAAGCCAACTGTTACAGCATTTTTTGAATTATGTTGTAAAATAATAAAAGGTAACAATTAAAATTGAATGGATATCGCATTTTTGTGCTATAAGCATTATTGATTACTCTTAAGTCTGTTTGTACCTACACTGCCTGGCCCCTTCTCCTAGCTCCCAGTAGGTGCGTTACCCAACTAATTCCCATGTATCTTTTATTTATCTTCTTGGCAGCACTATACCTGCGTCTCCCTACCCCCTGGTTTTGGATCAGCTGTCCCCTTACATGTACTCATTGGAGCATTTTTCACATTAGATTGAAATTATATTCACCAGTGAGTCTCCCCTCCTCAGCTCTTTGACAACCGAGATGGTCTGTGGTTATACCTGACTAGTGGCAAGCACTCAGATATTTTTTAGGAGAATGAAGAATTTGTTTTTAATCACTAAAAATAAATAGAAGGTAGTAATTAATGTGGGCACATAGGAAAAATGTCAGATTACCCCCTTTTTTATTTTTGATTTATTCAATTTATTGCTTTTTCATTTGGTTTATATTTTTAGAGTGGCAGAAGATCATAATGCTTACTGCATTGAATGAAGTTAAGACTTAACTTTAAAAAATTTTTGTACTTATCTTTAGAGATGGGGAGGGAGGGAGAGAAACATCCATGTGTGAGAGAAACATTGGTCGCCTCTTGCACACGCCAGCTGGGGGACCCGGCCCACAACCTGGGTGTGTGCCCTGACTGTGAAACAAACTGGTACTCAATCCACAGAGCCACACCAGCCAGGACAAGATTAACTTATAATATCTTGATTCTTATAGAATTGTTATAGGAGAATATTTTATATGTATAGTAGTGGTTTCGATTTCCTATTTTATAATTTACTAGCTATTTAATCTTAGGTAATAATTTATCTCTAAGGTTTTTCTTCATTAGTAAAATGAAGACAGTTCCTCTACTTCATGGGTCATTATTAGAATCCATCATGAGTAACTTGAAAACTAAAAACTTACGAGTGTAAGATGGGATTATTGTTACTGAAAATTTGACATGATTCTCTTTTTACCTTCGATTCTCAAGTGAGGCACTGTACCTTTCTAATCACACTTTATTTGACTCCTCTTTTTATATCCAATCAGAGGGACTTTTTGAGGCTTAGTTCTCAGCTGTTTGATTTTAATCTGAATGTTGTCCATTGAAGAACGCATCCATTGTGAGGATTTTGGTTATGTAACTTCTAAATCTTTATTGTACTGTTGTCATCTTTCATTGCTCCCTTATCTTTGCTGTATGAAATGTAAAGTCTGATTTTTTATTTCTCTTAGAACCAAGCTCATGGTAGGCATGCTTATATTAAAAGCAAACCACTAATCCTGTACCAGGCACTGTGCTAATATTTACTCATTTAGTCCTGACCCACTATGATGGGCCATTGTATGGATGGGGGAAAATGAGACAGAAATTAAGTAACTCGTTAGTCCCAGATGATAGAGCTCGTCAGTGGTGGAACCAAGAGTCAGACCTGGCAGTCTGGCTTCTGAGATTCCCTCGCAGGGCGTCCTGTGTCTTAGGTCCCTTGGCTGTGCATCCTCTTATCTGAATCATGTCTAGTGTCTTAACTAAGTAGAGTCTGTTAGCAATCAGAAACTCCATCTGGGGACCAGAAAAGTTAGGTACATGAAAGAATTAAGGCTGGTTAGGCCGTAACATAGGAAAGCACATGGAGAACACCTGGCCAGTCTAAAGGGGAAAACTGCCTTTTCCTCACATGGATTGTGGGCTTTTCACAGTGCAGAGCTTCTGGACTTTGTGACCATTCCAGACCCTTGAAACACTACTTGGGCCACATAAACTTGTCTATCGGCCAGAAATTGGCTACAGTTAACTTCTAGAGTAGGCACATTCTAATCTACCAGATTAATCTTAACAGTATTTTTGTCATTTTCTGCTGTAATGTCAAGAGAGGCATTTGGATTAGTTTGGACTGCTTTGTCTGGCACCTCAAACAGGCTAGTTTAGCCCCCAACCTAGTCTTTCATACATTCTGTAGCATTATTGCAGAGTTTACATGTGAGGCATAGTTATATATTTCATTGTTACCAAAATAGTCTGCTTATCAAGCTTGTCTATTTATTATAACCTAAATATTCTGTGTTCGTTCCATCTTCTAGATTTTTGCTCATATTCTTTCTTACCTGGAATTTCCTCCTTTAAAATATTGAAAAAAGCTCAATATATTACAGAGATGCATAAAGAAAACTTGTTGTCTGTCATCTTACAACATAGACAATATCCATAACTAAACACTTTGATTTAGTTCTAATTTTTTTTCTTTAAAGTTTTTTTTACTAGTAAGAAATAGACACCATATTAAACTTTTTTTTTATAATTTATTTATCTTTAGAAGGGGAGGGAAGAAGAGAGGGAGAGAAATGTCAATGTATGGTTGCCTCTCATGTGTCCCCTACTGGGAACTGTCCTGCAACCCAGGCATGCGCCCTGACTGGGAATCGAACCGTGATCCTCTGATTCACAGGCCTGTGCTCAATCCACTGAGCTACACCAGCCAGGGCAACACCAAATTTTTAACATGTTCAACATATGTTTCCAATGAATAGTGATTCTCCCTTTAAAAAAAAAAAGACTTTACTTTGTTTAGAGAGGGGAAGAGAGGAAGAGGGAGAGAAACATTGATCAGTTGCCTCTCATTATGCACCCTGGCCGGGGACTGAAACTGCAACCCAGGTGCATGCCCTTGACTAGGAATCAACCCAGCGGCCTTCCACTGTGGGACAGCGCCCAGCCAGCTGAGCCACACCAGTAGGCATGGGACTCTCCCTTTGAACCTTAGCCGTTGTTAGTAATTTTGTGTGCCCATCAGGAATATTGTATAAATTTATCAATTTTTTCATACAAGTGGTACTATAATGGCCTGCACCTTACTTTTTTCTTACTTCAAGTGTATATTAGAAGTTACGTATTTCCTTATGTAAAGCAGCTTCCTTTCACAGCCTCACAGTATTGTTACACATATTAATAATCCAAATATTATACTTATCTAACCAGCATTTTGATTGTGATCCTTTGCTCTATTTCCTGTTTCCCAATTCTTCAAACTCTTCCAGCACTTACATGATCCACTGTATTTTTGAGTACTTAGTGTGTCATTTGTGTCTTCATTCCTAAATGTGTTCATTTTCTAGGCTGTGACAGCTGAGGTCATATTTGAAGCTCATGCTTCCTTTTTTGCACCTTTCTCTTTCTTATCCAGTCCATACTGAAGCCTGATTCCCAGCCTCCTTATACTGGTGGCTTCAGGACCAGCCTGTTTCATGAGAGTTTCTTTTTTATTCCCCCTGCCTTGAATGTCTTTGAAGTCCTCTTCCCTTCTGATGACTTGAATGTGAAAAACATAAGTTGTGTAAATATCCATTTTCTCATGTTTAAATATTAGGTGGAAGGATAATCCATTAGGATGCAAAAATAATGCTCAATAAGTAGTCTGCAAACAAATATTCCAGCTATTCAGTGGAAGCAAAATTAGGCAGTGGGAAATAGTCTTTCAGAGGATAGAGGGAAATTTTAGTGTGAGATGAATGAATCAGAAGACTGGTAGTTAAATAAACTATAGAATGAATCAAAATGTGAGGAATGAAGAGGAAAAAGGACATAGATGGAAGGGAAGTCAGCCATACCAGCTTACCAGTGAATGAGAAAGTAGTGTGAAAGCAAATGTAGGTGAAGACTGAAGCAG